ATCAATCATCTTATTCTTTCTCTTATATGTATCTAAAATCTCATCCACTTTTCTCCATCCTCATAGCTGCTGCCCTTTTGCCTACCTGGTATCCCAGAGTTACAAACATCCAACTGATATGACTCACACTTACAAACAGAGGCTACTACAGATAATATGTAAATGTACCTGTTTCAACTTACATACAAATTCAACTTAGATCAAACCTACAAAACCTATCTTGTTTGTAATCTGGGATCTGCCTGTGTGCACCTTCAGTCTCACCATCCTCTACCCCATTCTCACCATCAGAATACTTCCTCACCTTATGTAAAATCTGGATTATCTTAAGTGGTTCTCTACAATCTACTTGCAAGCCTTACCCCCAAGCACTGCTAAAACACTTCATTTAGGCATCAACCACTTCTGTGAGAGTCTCAAAAGCCTTTTTTTGGAACAATATACATATATACGTTTGCTACCTGAAATGTGATTCTGAGGACTTGAAGCATCTGCATTACCTGAGATTGTATTAAAAATGCAGAATGTCCCTGTAGACCTACTATATCAGAACTCTAGGGTTAACACAATCTCTAGATTTACATGCACATTAAAGTCTGAGAAGCACTGACTTATAAATACAAAATTTTTTGAAATGAGTAAAGAAAACAGGGCTAAGGGAAAATCTGGTGAAGTCATAGCTGAGGTAATATTGATAAGTGCGTGTGATTAAATAATCTTAGTTTGCGGGGGTGGGAGTGGGGCAGTACTGGTTTTGAGGAAGCCAAACAGAGCAACTAGATGACTTGATTTTTAGTGTGCATAGATACTAGACATAGTACTTACTCTCTCACCATGTCTCCAGCCTATCATTTGGTACCTTCATCAAAAAATTTTACCTCCAAGGCCAAACTCTCTCCAACCTTCCTTTTCAGAAAACTAAAGACCAAGCCCTGCTCACCAGCTCCCTACCCTTCCATAGTTCACTATGACCCAGAGATTGCCTTCCACTGGTTATGCCTCCACCTGTAGCTTCCTCTATCCTGCAATTTCTACTTATCCTTTAATTAGTACGGGTATCATTTCTTCAGAGAACTGGTCAGGCCTTGAAATTCCCCTTTCCTGCTGTGATCCAGGCCATCAAAGTGCCTATCACCCTGTACTGTCACTGTTTATGGAAGGCAGTACACAACTGAGCTGAAGGGCACAGCTCTGGAATCAGACAACACTCAGGTTTGAATTCCAGTTTCCCCTCTTACAGGGTGCGTGACTTTGGCTACTAACCATACTTTACTGTCCAAAACTGTTGCCAGGAATGTTTTATTAATACTGAACAGCAGCGCTTTCCCTACCTCACCTGCCTTTGGCACCCAGCTGTAAACAGTAAATAGCTGAACTGCTGCAGCACGCAGAGGCAGGTCGGCCAATGCTAGGCCAAGAGGAGCTGGAGGTCAGGGCTGGGGCCAGCTTTCTCAGAACCTGGGCTTGCCCGCTAGCAGGTAGGGCGGGACCACCGGGTTGAATGACAGCACGTGCCCCGCCCCGGCCGTGACGTCGTCCTAGTGGTGGTGTCCGTGGCTGCACGTGGTCGCCTGAGTCCGCCTCTGGCAGAGCTACGGTCCGGGACTTCAGTACCGGCTGGTTACCTTCCTGCTCATCCAGCTCGCTATGTCCACGTCCACAAGCTGCCCGATTCCCGGGCGTCGGGACCGGCTGCCTGACTGCTACAGCACCACACCAGGGGGCACAGTATACGCCACTACCCCGGGAGGTCAGCGGGCCAGGCTGGGTTCCGCAAACTGCGGACAAACCGGAGTGTGCGTGCTATCGTGGGGCGGGGGTGTGGATTTGCGTGCCTTGGAGGCGTGTGCAGGCCCCTCTGCTGGTTGTTGCTTTCGGGGAGAGGGTTTGGAGCCAAAACTCAGTTCTCAAAAACCTTGAAGTGATGCAACAAGGCCGTGAGTCTAGCTTCCGGGTATGTGGCTGGAATCCTCTGGGGTCTACGTTCTGGGCGCCTCGCACACGCTACCGCCACTCGCGACTTTGCAGTCAGTGTGTAGGAACTGACATCCTCAACTTAGTGTGTCCTTAGCAGGAAACACTAGGTCTTGTAAAAAGGATAGAGCAGTTGGGGGTGGGTGCTCCGTTTATGTGCAGCTGCCTGACAACTGTTTGGTTGGGCAAGCAGCCTGGGATCACGAGCTGCTGGGCTCTCGACCCAGGGGTTTCTGCCACGCGGGAGGGGAAGGGAGGAGAGAGAACGGGATAGGGCCTTTTGAAGATACTGTAGTTCTGAGCTAGGCAGAGCCTCATAGGACTTGGGAGAACAGCATGCCCCGTGTTTCATTGGGAATGCAGCTCCACCCAGCAGCTGATAACCCAGGTGACAGCACAACTGTCACAACTGCTAATAGCTTCTAGATGGAAGTGAGGCTGAAAAACTACTAGGCCCCATCTTGTGAACCAAAGCAAGTTTGTTCCAGAGCAGTAGAGCAGCATCCTGAAGTACTTAACTTCCAAGGTTGGTGCGTCACTTAGAGCCAAGACCTGTTTCCCAAAACTAGATGCCCGACTGCCATATGGTTTAGCCGTATCATGGTTAGGCCTAGAAAACCTTTAAGTGCTGTGAAGGCTTGTCAGCTGAGATTCTAATTGGGCTGCAGAGCAGATGCCCTTTGATACACAGGGAAATTTGACACCCCTGAGCCCAAAAAAGCTTGTCTTGGACCCAAGTCACCTCTGTACCCTGGCTCTTACCTTAGCCCTTACCCCTTGACAGGCACCAGGATCATCTACGACCGAAAGTTCCTGCTGGAGTGCAAGAACTCACCCATTGCTTGGACACCCCCCTGTTGCCTCCCTCAGATTCCCGGGGTCACAACTCCTCCAACAGCCCCACCCTCCAAACTGGAGGAGCTGAAGGAGCAGGAGACAGAGGAAGAGATACCCGGTAAGGAAAGCAGGAACTACCCTAGCCTTTGAGTTCAAATGCCCACGTGAAGTAGAGCAAGGGTTCAATTCCAAGAAGGGGTTTCTGTATGATGCTCACCCTGTAGACTCAGACTAGCAACCATTCATCCTGCCTTTTCTCTCTCCAGATGACGCACAATTTGAAATGGACATCTAATCCAATGCAGATGACTGTGTGTGGAGTTATAGAGGGATCCCACAGCCTCTGTTGCCACCACCTCTTCCTGGGGTATCCAAAGGCCAGCTGGCCTCATGTAATCTGGAAGGGAGTGTTTTGTTGGTTCCTATAGTTCTGAGGCAGCTAGACCAGGGATAGGAGTGGGCACCTTGCCAAGCCTTTGGCTCTGCTTTCCCTTTGGTCTGCAGGGACTCTTCCCAACCCCTAGCACTCTTATGCTTAGTGGGTGGAGTATGTCACCTTCTGGCTGCTTAGTAAACATTCAAAGAAATGCCTTGGCTCCAGTGTTCTCCTCAATGCTGATTTACCCACCTTGGCCACAGCAGGCCTGGTTAAGATCAGAGGTCCCAAGTCCACTCCCAGCTCCTACTTCTAGCAGCAATTAGAGCCTAAGGCTATGAGCTGCCAAACCATAAATAGTAATAGTCTGGCCCTTGCCAAAGGCTGTTCCTGTCTTTCCAGGAAGGAGCCTTCCTGGAACTGAGCCTCTCCAGCAGCTCTTCCTTTTGGAAAAGAGGTGCTACCCCCACCTATAGTCATCCCCAAGCCTTTTCTGCCTCCCACCAGTTCCCCTATTCCAACACTGAAAACACTGTAACCTTTCTCACAAGATGATATCCATCAAGGCCCTCTCTGGCCCCTTCCACCCAGCTCTGTTGTTTCCAAAGGGTTAGAAGAGATGTTAGGGTCCACACTGAGGTCCACAATGAGGCAGGTTCTTATTTGGTGAGTCAGATAAAGAGATATGATTCCAAATCTCGGTATTCTGGTCTTTTTATCCTTCAATTTACATGGCAAAACCCACACTCAATGTGGTACTAATCCATTTGGCACCTGTATACCTCAAGGGTGATATAGTACAAATAGGACAGTCTTCCTGTGCTGTCTGAGCTATTTCTCATGATGGACCAAAACCATCCAAAGACAGGGCTGCTCTGCCCAGTGAGGGATGTAGTTTTCAGTCTAATTTTGGGGAATGTGGTAAGCAGCTATCTGGTCATGCCCAATAAGGCCCTTCATGATAAATGGAGAAAACAAAGGTTTGTAAGGTACATAGAGAGCAAGGAAGTCAGGGACACCAGAGGGGACTAACTAGTTCGGCACAGGAAGGGCTCATCTCCTACCTACCCAAAGCCCACCACTGAGATGTTTTTATTGAACTGCGTGTGTTATGGTTAACAAGTGACCTCCCTGTGGCCCAAGCGGACCTTTTCCCACAGAGGTAAGTCAGGCCAAATGGGACAGACAACCTCCCTGGTAGTTAAGAGGGGAAGAAGATCTCCCACACCAAGGGGTAGGAGATGGTTTCAGGTGAGTCTGAGGAACCACAGTATTATGGAGCCTGCTGGAAGCCTGGTATGGTCTGGTTCTCCTCAGCTGTGGCTGCAGATTTCTCTTCACTGGCCTCCTCTGAAGACAGAGTCCTCTTTTCAGCAATCAACCTTTTAACTCCTACCATCCACTGACTGACCTCAGTCACATGGTCCACCATGAGTGAGCGGTGGATGTCATCTGCTGCATCCCACTGGTGGCTTGAAAGCTCTGAGGAGAGAGAGAGAGGTTAAGCAAGCAGCCTGGGATAAAAGAGAAAGCTCCCTGCCTCCCCTCCCAATCAAAAAAGTCTCAGCACCTGTTCCCACTCAGCCAACCATGGTAGGATAAGAACTTAGGCTATACCAGGGAAGCTACCCATACCTTCCACCAGTAGAGCCATCCTCTTCTTTACAGACATTGACAACTTCCCTCCAGCCCACTGTTGCTGCAGCAGTGCCAGGCGTCGGTTGATGTCATCACATACCTGCTTCTGAGAGACAGAGCCCCTTCCAATTCAGTGCTGCCAACCCAACAAGGGGAGTGAAAGGCAATACCATGTAGGAAGCACCTGTTTTCTTTGGCCTAAGAACTTTACACCTAATCTTTAGTATTCTGGTTCTTTACTCAAAAGTTAGCAAAGCCCACTGAGAACCTGGTGAAACCTGTGGATCTTCTCCCAAGAAAAAAATGCATATATGGCTATAGTTGTTAAATTTCAGGGCTCAGACCCTCACGAAGCTTCCTGTAGTCTTACTTTACAAATAAGGAAACCAAAATCTAAAGAGGTGAAATTACCATGCCATCCTCTCTTTCTTCCCCTTAAGATATTCTTCAGATCCCTTCCCTTCTGAGAACGTGGAAACATTGTAGATACATGAGATTTCTTTCTCCCTGAATGAATCCAATGTAAATTTCCTGTGCACAAAATTAGCAGGATCTGGTCTGAATGGCTTGGAGGTACAGAAAATCAGGCTGTTACCTGTTCACTAATGGGAACTGAATTCAACTCTAGTTCCCACAGCCTCTTCTACTGAAATCTGTGAGCCTTCCTGAAATTTTGTGTTCATTTTCCTGGGAATGCCTTAGCAGATTCTGAAGGGGCCTATCACTAAAAGGATTAAAAGCCATTGCCTACAGTGTCAGAGGGTCTGGCCTGCCTTTTGGAGCCGTGCTCACATCTCACTGTGGATGGAAGCCCTCTCCACCCTCTGGTGTGCCAGGGCTTACCCTTGTGTGGCCACGGCAATCCTCCAATGCCTGTTCCAAAGGTCTCAGCACATCCTCCATCAGAGCCTCAGACTCAACTGGGAAACTTGTGGACTCCACACCAGAGGCAGGACAACTCCCCACAGGTTGGGGCCTGGGAACCTTACTTGAAGGAGGTGGAGGCCCCGTTGGCGGGGGGCCAGGAAAAGTCTCTGAGGTAGGGACTGAAAAGGTAAAAGCAGGATCAAGCAAGATGGCTTAAGTAGGTAAGATGCTCAATGCTAAATTCACCCCTTTAAAAGAGGGCTTCTGGGACAACTCATTCAAAAATTTGTATTTATGAAGTCATTGCTTTATGCCAGACAGTGTGCTAGGCACCAAAGAAGTAAACAAGACAGATTAGATTTCTGACCTCAGTAAACTTAATCTCTAGAGGAAAAAAGCACAAGAGAATTACCAAATTATGTTACATGCTACAAAGAAATAAAATGGATTATGTAATAAAGATGAACAGGGGGATCTATTTAGATTAAGTGTTCAAGGAAGGCCTTCTGATGTTTTTCCCAGCTCACTCACTATGACCTTAAGCAAGTTAACTTTTAACCTCTGAGCATGGGTTCCTTTTCTCTAAACAGGGATTATATAATGCACTTATCTCACAGAGTTGCATGAGGATTAAGAATATAGGTATAGCTGCAAGGCTATTGTGTAGCAAAAAAAACACAAACTTAGCTGTTTTTATTGAGAAATGATGCATGATATAAGTGTAGCTATGAAGAAGTTAAGGAATATGTACCAGATACAGATTAGGTCAGTGCCCAAGAGGCAAGAAAAGTATTGACTTGTTCAAGGGACAGAATTGAGGCCCATGTGGCTGAAGATTATTAATATCAAAGAAAGTAATCACCAGACATTTTTAAAGATATATGCTCTGTAAAAAATTGATGAGAACTAGTCAAGAATGGAGATAGGGACACCAGCTGAGAAGTTAATTGAGTACTCCAAGAAAGAGAATGCTGGCATGGACTAGGGAAAGTGGATGAGGGAAAATGGAGGAGTCTTAAAGTTTATTTAAGAGGAGGTAGCAACAGTACATGATGGATTGGGGGTGAGGGAAAAAGTAGTCAGGATGACTCCTGGGTAATGAGAACCACTGAGAAGACTAGAGAAAAGTCAAGAATTTAGTTTTTGATGACACATTGACAAGGATTAGTTCATCTAATAATTAGTTACTTGACTTCAGTATGATTTCCTTATGCCTTAGCCTCTCCTTCCCCTCTGTCTTGTTAACAACACTATCACCTCCAAAATCTGATCAGCTCTGCTACCTTTCAGCTCAGCTATTTTGACTTCATGGTGCATTAAAATTAGTCCCTTATAAATACTTTTACCTCCCACTGCCCAACTTCCCTAGTTAAAGCCAATTTGCCTGCACATGGGAGGAAAAACAGAACCATGCTAATGAATTTACACCCACAGATATTTAAAGGTATCAAACACTGCATGGACACTTTACCTAGTTTTTCACTCTTCCAAATGTTATACATACAGTAGAGCCTCCATAGTCGATCACCTCCTTAGGCTGACATCATTTTCAAAGACCAGACACGCTCCACATGTATGTCTCAGTACAGTAGGCTTAGTTCCTTATGCTGACCACCTCCATATGTTGACCAGGTTTGTATAGTCCTTTGAGTGGTCAACTTACAGGGGTTCTACAGTATTTTAATATCTCTTCTAAACGTTTCCACATTCTTCTCCTCTGTTTCCCTGCTGTCTATTTCCAAGTCTGCCCCATATTTCATTGAGAAAAACAGATGTCATTAAACAGGAACCTTCTCCTTTTCCCATTTCTATTAACCCAACTGCATCAATTGCCACTTTTCCTTCCTCCTGTAAGAGAAGAAGGGTTCCTGCTCCTATCAAAAGCCACCTCTCCAGCTGTACTCTGCGTCCCAGTCTCTACAATCTTTGCTAGGTTTCCCTCCTGCAATTAGCCGCTTTCTCCTACCTTATAAATTCTCATTCTACTGAATCCATCAACTTACAAGTGTGCTGTAGTATATACACTTTAAAAAATACTCCACATTCCATCTTCAGATACCTTCATTTCTTATGTCTGCTTCACAGCAAAATTTCTTGCATGAGCTGTTTATAGTCACTCTCTATACTTTTTACATTCTCTTCGTGGTCCATTCCAGCTGAGTTTCTGTTCTTACCACTCCACAGACTTGTTATAGTTACCAGTGATTGCAATATTTGTCAAATCTATTGGGCCCTTGTCTTCATCTTTTTCTCCTGTCTTTAGCCATTTCTCAGTCTCTTTTGCTTTATCGGCTTCACTCAAGCTGATAAATTCAAATGCCATCCATCTAACAGTGACTTATTTCTATGATTCTGACCTAGTCCTCTCCCCAAAATACCACCCCAAACTTAACATGGCCAAAACAGCTTGCTTTTCCCTGCTCCCCAAAATCTCTATTCTCTAGTCTTCTCATATCAAGCAAAAAAACGTAGGCTTCCTCTGTCTACTCATTCTGACTTTCTCCATAACATATCTCCTATCTATCCAGTTCTTACCACCCAAACTCCCACCCCCTTGTGTAAATCATTAAATTACATCTTCCCATATTACCCTAATTGCAGTTTTCTACTTCCCTAAAATCTTGTCTCCCAACCTGCAGGCACAGTGATCTTTTTAAGATGTAAGTGGTTGTCAAGCTGGAAAGACTGCACCTCCAGGGCAAATGTTTGGAGACACTTTGGGTTTTTGCCACTGGGTGCTACTGGCATCTACCAGGCAGAAGAAATACTGCTAAACGTCCTACAATATACATTCTTCCACAACAAAGAATTATCTGGTCCCACATTAACAGTGCTGAGGTTGAGAAACCCTGCCTTGTTGGGCGGCGCCTGTGACTCAGTGAGTAGGGCGCCGGCCCTATATACCAAGGGTGGTAGGTTCAAACCCAGCCCCAGCCAAACTGCAACAAAAAAATAGCTGGGTGTTGTGGCGGGTGCCTGTAGTCCCAGCTACTTGGAGGCTGAGGCAAGAGAATCGCTTAAGCCCAAGAGCTGGGGGTTGCTGTGAGCTGTGACACCACAGCGCTCTACCAAGGGTGACAAAGTGAGACTTTGTCTCTTAAAAAAAAAAAAAGAAAGAAAGAAACTCTGCCTTGTATTCTGCAGTGGAAAGGGTGTGGGGAACAAGGGCTACTGAAAAAACCAAACTTGAGTCTCTTGGGGATGAGGTGTCACATCTCACTTTAAGGCCCTAGGAAATTATTAGGGGAAAAAGGTAGCCCTCCTCTACTTTAAACTTTTTTTTTTTTTTTTTAAGACAGCATCTCACGCTATACTAGCCCAGGCTAGAGTGCCATGACATCAGCCTAGCTCACAGCAACTTTAAAACTCCTGGGATCAAGCAATCTTCCTGCCTTGGCCTCCCAGAGTGCTGAGATTACAGGCATGAACCACTGTGCCCAGCCATACTTTAAACTTAGATGACTTCCAACTTTATATATTCTGGTTTATAAAATTCACTATGCTAGCCACTATATTCCCAGAGTCTCTAAAATGGCCAAACTTGTCCTTATCTCAGGGCCTTTGCACTAGCTGTTTCTTATGCTTGGAAAGCTTTTGAGCATGACCTTGTCATGGTTTAAATGTCTGCCCCTAAGACAGCTAACTGAGTTACCCAGTTGCTATCACCTCTATTTTGACTGTGGAGCCCTTACTATTGTTTGATCTGTCAGTCTTTAGTCTAGAGTGCTTGAGAGTGGACTCCCTGAAAGCAGAGACCTTTTTTGTCTCATTCATTGCTATGTGGGTCGCCCTCAAACAGTGCTCAGTAAATAATAGTGATTAAATAAGTGAATGAATAACACTTAAGATGCTGCTTATATACCCAAGCAAAGAAGTAGAATAAATAGGCAAACAGATATAACACTATAGAGTAGTGTGAAGAGATCTAGGTTGTAAGTAAAATCTGAAAACTATTAAAAACCATAGGTCTGTATAAGATCACCTAGCGTATAAATATAGCAAGTCTTTTTAAACCAACATACTATTAACTTGAACAGCACAGTTCAAGGCTCGGAAAAGGGCCTGCCCTCCCCTTACTGGGCCCCAGCCTTTTTCAGGGAGTCCTGAACGGCCTTGATACATGCTTATCCTTGATACCACCCATTCTCCGCCGGTCACCGCGCACAGGGTCCCCACGTACCTCTGGGAGATCCATCCTGGGGAGCGGCGACCCTCTTGGTGAGCGGTGTGCGCTTGGGCCCACCAGCCTGGGTCTGCAGCCCATATGAAAACTGTGGCGGGTCGTTCCAGCCGCGCTCCTTGTTGCCTGCAGAGGTGGATGTGTCAAACGAGACTGGTGAGATAACGGAGAGTTATATTCGGGCTGAGGAAGTCAGAAGGTCCACACCCCGCACTTCAGCCGCCCGCAGCCCCTACACTGCCGGCCGTGCTCACCCGGCTTCACGTACAGCTCCGCCATCGCCACTTCCGCACGGCCAGCGGGGCAATGCGTCACTTCCGGGGCGGCAGCACGGCGACACGTTGGGGTGCTACTAGAGCCTGGCTGGTTGCTAGGAACCCTTGAGATGCAGCGGCCATCTACAACTGCTGACAGCCACTGTGAGGAACCTGCGCCAATTCCCAAAGGGACTCGAACTCTCCATGTAATGAATCTTCAGGATCTCGCTCACAAAGCACCAAACGGGGCTGTTTTCCGATAGCAGGCGTTCTAGTTATCCTTGTCCTTTCTGGCCCGACCTCTCCAAAGTCTCTCTCTTGGCTCAACTTGAGGCTACCGGAAGCTCCTGTACTACATACAGCCCTCCGTGATCTGGCCAAGTCGACATCTAGGAGACTAAATTCTATTCTCTCCTGCATAATTACCATATTCATTTTCTCTAGCCTTGCTAACTAGTATTCATCTACCTTTGGCACTTAGATGTCAGCTCTTCAACAAACTTTAATGCCTCAAGCCAGATTTAGTGTCTCAGCTGAGCTCCCACAACCTTGGGGTTTCTGAGCTACACCATATCTTCTATCTTGTTTTCTGACTCTTGTTATTCTGACATTCTCTGAAAGAGCGACCCTATTTTATTACATCCCCAGTGCACAGGGAAGACCTTAGAAATTATGTTCATTTAATGAAGATTTCCATCACACCTATGCCCTTGTATGACTAGAGGCAGCCACCATCACCCAGCATAGGCAAAAAGATATTCATCTCATACAGGTCATTAGCCCCCAGCCCTGTCCCAGTCCCAATACATTCACACCCAGTGAGGTCACTGACGGATTTTTATTTGCACTGATTTTGCTATAAAGTGCTGCTGAGGTAGAGCCAACTGTCCAGGACTAGACAGGGGCAAGGAACGCAAGGACCCAAGGAAAGGGGACCAGGGTCCTAGGCTGTGGTGCAGGGCCTCTCAGTCATCCATATAAACAATAAATTGGGCAATAAATAGGATGGCTAAGGATCAGAGGGACAGGCAGAGAAGACTCCAAGGGGTAAGAGGCTGCAGGCCTTGGGGTAATAAGGAGTATAGAATTAGGTATGGACCCAAAGCCTCCTTCCCCGGTCCTCCCAGACCATCTAGGGCATATGGAGCAGAGAAGGTTTCAACCGGAAGGCATCAAGAAATGAGAAGACACCCCGCTTTCGAGGAGTTGCCCCTGCACCACCAACCCCTCCTTTGAGCAGGGGGAGGGGCAGGGGACCTCCTGAGGAATCCATAGAGCTTGTCCGCTTGAGCTGCAGGCGAGCCCGGGCCTGGGCCCCCCAGGCCTTGCCCCGAGCTGCAGAGGCCACAAGACACTTCTGGTATTGAACCTAGGGAGAAGGAGAAGGTGAGGATCCAGCTACTTTCTGGAATCCTTGAAAGCTCCTGTAGGACAGAACCGGCCAAGGCTTTTTTCCGATATGAAGGTAGTAGTTGGCCACATTTGGAATCCTACAGCATTCCCAGATAGCTCAGTAATGAAAACATAAAACATTTATGGAGCACTTAAGACGAGCTGGACACTAAGTACTTTGTATAATTCAGTTATTTATGAGATTATCCCCATTTTGCAAATGAGAAAATTGAGATTCAGAGAGTATATGACTTGCCCAAGGTCCCATACCCCAAAAATGGTAGGACTGGCATTCAAATCTAGTTCCATCCAGCTGAAGCTTGTCTTGTAGTCTTAATCACATCTACCACTGTGCTGCCTCCAGAGTGTCCATCTCTCTTTTTTTATTTTATTTTATTTATTTGAGACAGAGCCTCAAGCTGTCCCCCTGGGTAGAGTGTCGTGGCACCACAGCTCACAGCATCCTCCAACTCCCGGGCTCAAGCGAGTCTCCTGCCTCAGCCTCCCAAGTAGCTGGGACCACAGGCGCCTACCACAATGCCTGGTTATTTTTTGGCTGCAGCTGTCATTGTTGTTTGGCGGGCCCGGGCTGGATTCGAACCTGCCACCTCAGGTGTATGTGGCTGGTGCCTTAGCCACTTGAGCCACAGGCGCCGAGCCCCTCCTGTCCATCTCTAACTGGTCTGCACCAGTCCCTGGCAAAGCAGTTTCACTCGTCAAGGGGAGGGTGTACAACCCAACTCCATTCCCATAGCTAGTGGCCCCAAAGGTAGTTCTCTCATTTGAACTACTCTAACAGGTCCTTTTTAGCCTTCCTATCTCCTCTCTTGTGTCTTCTAATCTTTTACCCATATTATAGTTGTAGTAGTCCTCCCAATCCACAAACCTCACTTTCCTGGCTGACTCAAAACCCTACAACAGTTCCTAGTGACTCAGAAGAAAATAAACTCATTACCCTGGCCTACAAGGTCCTCTATGACTTGGTTTCTGCCATTTTCTCTGCATCGTCTCATTACCTCTCCCTTTGCATGCCAGATACACTAGATTCTTCCAAATACTCTAATCTACTAATACCTTTCTCACTTTCATAGTTGAGGTTTCCTGTGCTTGGCACACTTGCCCCATTCCCCTTCACCTAGCTACCTTCTTCCTTGGCACCTTCAACTCTTGCTTTTCTATTACCTTTTACAAGTAGCCTTCCTGACCCCTGAAGGGGCCACCTCCTCCATCAATCTGTGGTGTACAATCTCTGCTTCTTCCTAAGTATTCTGTGAAAGCAAGAGCTGTGGCCTCTATACTACTGAATGCCCAGGGTCAAATACAGTGCCTGTTCAAGTACACCTGCATTTTGAAAAATAAATAAATAATATGGTATCTGATACCCTGGGGAGGCACTCATATTTGCTGAATGAATGCATGAACTGAACAGAGTGTAAGCATCCCACACTCAAATGCCCACAGATACCAGGAAATAACCTAATTGTGACAGAAAAAGAGCTCCTACAAAACTCTGGGTGCATGCTGACATTTGTGTATGTGAACATAGTACCAGAGCTCCTAATATTTTAAGAAAAACAGGAATAGCAATTACATGAAATGTCATGGCCTTTAAATACTGGCAGCTAATTAAAACTTAACTAAAAACAGCATGAAGGCCAAAATACAGTGATCCAAAATCACCCCAGGTTTATGATCTCTGGAGAAGTGGCCAATCCTGAACACCAGTCAACGGTAAGAGAGCAGCTGCAAGGCAATCCCACCCACCCATTTCCACCCCTAACTCACCATACAGGCAGCCTGCACAGCTTCAGAGAGTCCACCTGCATGGGGCTGGCACCAGAAGGCTGCGCACTGGAAGCTCTGACGGCCCAGGTCAGCGATGAGGCCAAAGGTATGTGGGTCACGGCCAACCCCAATAAAGGTCACAAGGCGCACAGGGCACTGCCACAGTGGCTCCTCCTCTGCACTGGCCTCTGCCTGCCCACATCAGGCCTAGTCACTAGAGGGCACTGGCTGGACCCGCTGACTCTTCCAGCAGCAAGCAACCACCCCTCAGCTTCCCTGCTCATCCCTCCACAGCCCCCAACTTCACCCTCTTCTGATACCTGAATGGGATGTGCAGTCATGAGAGAGTCAGACACGCTGAGCATGGTGGGGACCCAGGTATTTTGGTCCCCCCGGGCGGTGAGGGTACCAATGGCCTCATTCAGTACATCCATGCCTGAGGGAACATGCCCACCATGGTGTCTCCCAATTGCAAAGAAAGAAAGGGTCTATGGGAAGTATCTTTGCCCCTCTCACTGATTTGTGACTCAGAAATATGAATAGGATAGTAGGGGCTGGGCTTAGAATTCTGAGTTAGAAAGGCTGGTAAACCTCAAGCCATAGAAGGCCATGTGAGGATTAAGAAATGATAATAGATCCTACCTCACCCAACTTCCCCTTGCCTTATGCAGCCCACCCAGTCTAGTCCCCACAACCCTCACCCATGGCTTTGGTGACAGGCAGGGTCCCCATGTACAGTGCCTCATACTTCTGAGCAGCCTGGCTCACCGCATCCAGTAGTTCCACTGAAATAAACATACACGGTAAGTAGACCTCTCTCAGTTACTCCTTTCCTTACCCATCTGAGTGGGTCAGGACTCGAGCCAGAACTGGTACAATAGAATAAAGGCCCATAGGTGCTCTTCCAATTCAGGGCTTGAGATCCCTGGGACAAGACACCTCAGAAATTCCCTATCTCCAGAGAAATACTAAATTACCAGGAATATTCCCCCACACCAAGTTTCACTAAAGCAGCCTGATGAAGCAATGCAGCACCTCCTTCCCCATACCTTGCCGTGGCAGGTCTTCAGGGGAGATGGGATCTGGAGAACAGCAAGGGACATCAGCACTGACCCCTACTCGCTCTGACAAGATCTAAAGCACAATGCAGCCAGAATAAGCCACAGGGAGAGAAGGAGATTAGGGTAAGGGAGCCAACACCACCCTCCCCCGACTACGTTGGAAGCTACGGACCCAGCCCTATACCCACATTTCCTGTCCCACCTGACCCTTACCTGGGCACAGAGTCCATGTAGGGCACTGGCAATGGCCTTGGCAGGGACGTCACAGCGAAATACATGGCACTTGAGCATACAGCTGTCTTTATCACCCGCCACAAAAGCAAAGTCCCTGGCAGGGGCAGAGATAGGGCTGGGGCAGAGGCTGGTTAGAGGTAGTTGCCTATAATGCCTGTAGGAGGCTATCAAGTCAGGCTAGGGATATGTCAGGGATGAAGTAGAGAGATCAGGGCTGGGGCTCAGGGCACCTGGTTGTCACTCACCTGTCACTGTTCCGGAAGCATGTGGAAGCACAGAAGAGAATCAGCCCAGCCTCTCAGGCTCTCCCCAATCTGTCCCTGCTGAGCTGGACCCACCCTCCCCAACCAGGACTAGACCAGGCAGGAAAGGCAGTGGTGGGTCCACATCAGAGGATCTGTGTCCAAGGGTTCAAATACTGGGGATCACAGCCTGCAGGGGGGGAGGGAGAAGCAGCTCTCGCTTGGGGGAATGTAAACATCCTCACCGGCCCTTGGAGCTCCCCACACCCCATACACGGATGTGCACCAGAGGCTGGCAGTGGATCAGACTGTGGTCCAGGGGATTCACCAGGCTCATGGCATCCTTCTTCAAGATCATCAGCATATTTTGGCCCTGCCAAAGTCAGAGATCAGCCCAGAGCTCAGATAAAGGTTACTGCCATACAGAACAGGGAGAACTACCTGGAATTCAGGGCGAACTACCTCTGCTGGGCCTTGCGCTGAACCCTTGCCTAGCCAGCTCACCTCACCCCAGGCACCATCTGGAGGCTGGCTCTGGCTGCAGGTCTGGGCCAGCTGCTGGATGCAGTTATTGACAGCAATACTACTCTTCCCTGGTGCCAGGTCCTCTTCGGGTATCTCTACCCAGCCCAGAGAGCGGACTGCAAAGCACTGACAGGTTGAAGGAAAGGACAGGAGAAGTGGCAGAATAGGGTAGCAGGTGCCACAGGCTCCACACATGTAAACCCTCATGTACCCCTGCCTTCACCCATGATAACCTTGGCTCAGTCCAATCCCATCCTAGGTCTTTCCCTCAGGACTTCCCAATGCCCTCAGGCCCAAGTCACTACCTTAGCCCCTGGCTCCATGCTCTGGATGTAGTTTTCTTCACCATACCAGGACAGAGAGTTACTGGAACAGAGTAAAGCTAGTAAGAGGACATTTCCTACTATAGAAGCACAAGTAAAGCTCAGACTATTAGATGAGCACAGTATGTAGAACAAGACCCAGAATACAGCACCATAAATATGAAGCCAGAGTTGGCTACAGCCCAGGACATGTTAAATTAACTTAACATTATAGAAAGTGTAATTTAGAATTTGAAGGAACATTCAGGACATAGGACATAGAATAAAAGTCACAAACAAACATGGAACAGGGACTAATATGTGGAACTGAACCCCAAACTGAAACAAGAGACCCTAGAACACAGCATAGGAAGCCCTATGAAAAGAGCCTAAGATAATGGCTAACCTCTAGAATATGACAGGTCAGGACTGAGAAAATGGAAAAGAACAAACAGCTAAAAGCAAGAACTTAAAATAAGGGACAAAAGTCAAAATACTGAGTGTCAAGAACATGAGACAGTGCCAAGACAACCCACAACATAACAGAGTCTGGAACTTGGGCTGGAAAGCAGCCTGTGACTCCAGCTGCATTTTTTAATGCCATGGAACCCCAAGTCTTTCATTTTGTATGGCCATCCCTGTTACCTCCAGTCCAGTGAGCTCTCCAGGCTGGAAAAGGATCTCCCTTTGGGAGGCCGCAGTCCCCAAATCCTCTCTGTCCCCTGTAGAGTAGGAGTTAGTCAGTGTAGCAACAGCTCTACTCAAGGGCTCAGCCTCCCTCCTCATACTTCACCTACCGTGCCTGGGTCCGCTCCATCTCCTAGTTCCCAGGTTGGGCGCTGCCACTGGGTACTACCACTGGGTACATGCCAATAGTAAGTACCTGCAGCATCTCGGATCTTCCGCCAGCCAGGGGGCAGGCCTGGCTCTCCCTCCAGACTCTGATCACCCCACAAATCATCTACAGGAGCACAGGATTGGAGAGGGGGAACATGTCTGTGAGTTCAGAGTAACACCCTGTTATAACCCTCCCTCTATTCCACAGGGGGCAGTTCTTAGGCTGGAGATCCAGGCTCTCCAATCTTGAAGATACAGCATGTAGAATCAGGGTTCATCTGTTCCCCAGTCCTCTCACCGAAACGTATCTCCCACCCTCTTTGAGCCGTGCCGTAGCCTTTCGCATTCCTCGTCCCCTCCCTCAGCTCCTAGTCCTTCCACCAAACCCCTCCGTGCACACCATCGCAGTTGACCAGAATGATGGCCAGCATGTAATCCTTGCCCAGCATAGCCCCAGCTGCGTCCCCGCTGGGCTCTGCCTGCCAGCACTCTCAGCCCAGCACCCTCGCAGCTCTGCTGCGTTTACAAGCCCAGCCTCCCTGCGCAGCAAATGGCCGGGCCAGCTGCCACCGCACAAACACCGGGCAGAACAGGGACAGGTCCTGGGGGCGAGAAGGGGCGGGCTTGAGGGGTGGAGCGTGGCGACTGGCGCCTGGATCCCTGAAGGAATCAGTGTTTCAATGCGTGGGTCCGGGGAAGATGCTAAGAAGTCAGCGGACCAGCTGACGCCCCCGCACAACTATGACCTCATCAGGCGGCGGAAGTCAGTCCACGCGAACGTGCACCGCGCTCACAAGTTAGATCATCGCGCACACGCTCCCAGGAACTCAAAGGGAAGGGTGACATAACAGTATATAGGAGCGACGGACCGCAGAGTTTAGTCACTAGGAGAATGCCTCACCCTTTCTAAAAGTCCCCCGGAAGTGCCTTCGCCCTCAGTAAAGATGGCCGTAGCTCTTGGCGTGAAGGAGGCGGGTCTGCGCCTGCGCAACGAGTTCGGCGGGGGAAGATGGCGGATGATAAGGTGAGTGAATCTGAGGGTGATCTGCGGTCGGAGATGGTCTTCACGTTCCATGACTTTTTTAGTTTTGTCGATTACCTTAACAGTGGGGGAGCATTGGCGAGGCGGGTGGAATCGAGGATCCCCCAGGTGTCCTTTCCTGGAACCATTACGATCCCTAGCGACTAATACACACTCAAAACACATTCACCCTGAAACTCTCCTCACTTTGTCCCATTCCTTAGCCCCCAAAACTTCCCTCCAAATTCGCGGTGTTTTTAATTACGTGGACACAGGCACCACCCTCATTCAAACACTCCCTTGCATACCCTTTGAATTTCGTATTTACATAGGATAGAATGATTGAGTTCATTTTCTCTCACACTTGCCGACAGCCATTCTCTCTCGCATCCAGTCATTCACATTCAGTTTGGGATAGCCTTGGGAGGAAGCGGGTGAAGCCCAGGCAGAAATCAGGTTTACCCCCAAATTGCCCAGGGAACTACTTCAGTTTATCACTCACCATTAGTCTGGGATCTCAACATCATCCACACATTTACTAAGCCTATGTCAGGCACTGGAACATAGCAGCTAAGACGCTTTTCAGGGACCTCATAGTAGATTCAGTGGTGATTTCCTGATAAACCTAATTGAAGGTCCCCTAGTTGTGCCTCCTCCTCCTCTGCACCACTGCTTGCCATATAAAATTCTTGTAGTTACTGGTGCAGATTCCGTTTGTTACTCCCTCCCAGGCTCCCATGTGAATTATGTGTTTTAAAATGCCTTTTCTCCTTTACCTACCACTGCCATCTCTGGAAGCTTTTATAGTAAGAGGTTTCTCTGGCTCACCCCATCCTGTCCAATTCCCAGCAAGGAAATTGAGCAAGGGATGGAGCTGGGTCAAACTGCTGGAACTTGCCTCTCCCTTGTCCTAGGATTCTCTCCCCAAGCTTAAGGACCTGGCATTTCTCAAGAACCAGTTGGAGCACCTGCAGCGGCGAGTAGAAGATGAAGTCAGCAGTGGCATGGGACAGGTAGGAACTATTCTCCCAACCCCAGACCCTTCTTATATTTTATTGTCCAACATACATGATTTTACGTATTGAGTGGTGGTAGAAATTTATTGAGCAAATGCTTATTGAAGGATTGTTCTCATTCACCCCAAGGAAAGTTTTCTTGAGAAAAGGGACTTGAGCTGGACTCTTAAGCAGGGGTTAACTAAGTAAGCAGAAGAGGAAAGAACATTCGAGACAGATGGAACAGCATATGCAAAGCCAACATGATGTGAAGTAGCATTATGAACATAGTGGTGAAAGGAAATCAGTTTGGCACAGTAGTAGGAAAGCAAGTTAGGAAATGAGGCTGGAAAAACAGGCAGGCCTGAGGGTCATCTCTGACCTTGCGGCAGGGTTCTGTGATTGGAGCCTTCTGACTCCAGGGTTCTGAAACTGATAGGGACTCCTAGATTCTTTTGTTGGCCCCAGAACCTTGAGAAAAATCTTTGGAGAAAATACCACAGCTGTCCAGAATGAGGAGGAAATGGTGGTGGAATGCTCTAAGCCCAGCTTAAGTAGCTCCTGGGCAGAGAAGGAGGAAAATCCTGGCTGAGTTACCTTCTGCGTTTTTTTCTGCAGGATGGCTCCCTGTTGTCCTCTCCGTTCCTCAAGGGATTTCTGGCTGGCTATGTGGTAGCCAAACTGAGGGCATCAGCAGTATTGGGCTTTGCTGTGGGAACCTTCACTGGCATCTATGCAGCTCAGGCATATGCTGTACCCAATGTGGAGAAGACATTGAGGGACTATTTGCGGTCACTGCGCAAGGGACCTGACTAACAAGCTCTGGATGCCATGGGGGAGGCAAGATGAGCAGCTGGGGATTGTGACCACAGGCATTCCATCTAGCTTCCCCGGCTATCATCAGTTTGTTGTCTCCAACTTTCCTGCCACCTCTATCCTTGCTTCCTTTCCTGCAGTGTGTGGACAGTGGCTTATCATCCTTCGCTCTGGACTCCTTCTTCCTTCCTTAACTCCATGGGACTGGCCCCAAGAGTGTGGTTTCAAGGGCCACCAGATCCTCCTCTTCAAGCCCTGACTGGAGTTTGAAGTTGACTCTTGATTTTCAGTATTCTCTCTGGCAATGTACCACAGCCCCTCCCTCCTAGGAGCTGGCTCTATAACTTGATTTCCCTAAAGGTGTCACAATCCCCACTGCTCTTTGCTAAAACTGTACAGGCCTCCTAGGGTCTGATGTGGGCATGAGCGTAGAGGACGGGGGTATACCTGGCCTGGGCCGTCCCAGGCAGGCCCGGTGGACCCTGATGCTACTCCTGTCCACTGCCATGTATGGTGCCCATGCTCCATTACTAGCACTATGCCATGTGGATGGCCAAGTGCCCTTCCGCCCCTCTTCAGCTGTGCTGCTGACTGAGCTGACCAAACTACTATTGTGCGCCTTCTCCCTCCTGGTGGGTTGGCAGACATGGCCCCAGGGGGCCCCACCCTGGCGCCAGGCTGCTCCCTTTGCCCTGTCAGCCCTGCTGTATGGCGCTAACAACAACTTGGTGATCTATCTTCAGCGTTATATGGACCCCAGCACCTACCAGGTACTGAGCAATCTCAAAATTGGAAGCACCGCTCTGTTCTACTGCCTTTGCCTCCGACACCGCCTCTCCACACGCCAAGGGTTAGGTCTGCTGCTGCTGATGGCTGCAGGGGCCTGCTATGCAGCAGGTGGCCTTCAAGACCCACGGAACACCTTTCCTGGGCCCCTTCCAGCTGTTGCTGCCAGCCCCATGTCCCTGCATATCACTCCTCTGGGACTTCTGCTCCTCATCCTGTACTGCCTCATCTCAGGTTTGTCATCTGTGTACACAGAGCTACTCATGAAGCGGCAGCGGCTGCCCCTGGCACTTCAGAACCTCTTCCTCTACACTTTTGGTGTGCTTCTGAACCTAGGTCTGCATGCTGGTGGTGGCCCTGGCCCAGGCCTCCTGGAGGGTTTCTCAGGATGGGCAGCACTGGTAGTGCTGAGCCAGGCACTAAACGGATTGCTCATGTCTGCTGTCATGAAGCACGGCAGCAGCATCACGCGTCTCTTTGTCGTGTCCTGCTCGCTTGTGGTCAATGCCGTGCTCTCAGCAGCCCTGCTACAGCTGCAGCTCACAGGCACTTTCTTCCTGGCCACGCTGCTCATCGGCCTGGCTGTGCGCCTATACTATGGCGGCTGCTAACCCCAACTCTGTAGATTGAGTGCTACCATCAGAGCTCCCTCCTGGGCCTCCCTTCCCATCCCCTCAGCAGCCCCGTAACAAGTGCCTTGAGAGGAAAGCTGAGGAAATGAGAATAGCCAGTTAGTCTCTGGAGCTGAGTGGATAAAGCGGGTATTCCTCGCAGATCCAAAGAGTGGGTTTGGTTATGGAAACTTTTAACCAGCACACCAAGTTCTTCTGGTTTAAGGAATTCGGGTAGGATCAATATCTAGGCCTGAGAAATGACCCCATCCCTGAGCAGGCAGGCTCCCTGCCTCATCTGGCATGAACATAGTTGCTCAAAGTAGGGTATGGGCAACACATTGCTTTCCTTACCTACTTAGCCATCCCAGCAGACCCACTGCCCCCAGACCTGGTGCTGGGTGCTTCAGCCCAGCTGTGGTGCATGATTTTCTCATAAGGAATGCTCAACCCCCGCTGCACCCACCATGAAGGCCCCCCAAAGTAGCCACAGATTATACAACCATCACCTAGACCATTCTGCCAATCTCCTCAGTTCCAGCAATACTTGGAGACATCCCCTCTTCCCCCACTACAGTGCTGCTCCCCATATCCTTTATTCTGGAAACTCCAGAGATAGCTGGGGTTTGACATATCTCAGGGAATGTTGGCCCTGAGCCCTGGCTAAAGCCTACACTCCTGACCTCTCTGCTCATCCCAAATGCTCTCTTGAAACCTGCTGCCCACTCTAAGGCTCCTAGGAGGGCGTGCCATCCTTCCTACTCTGAGGCCTGCCTCTGACAAGCAATCTCCCAGCTCCCAACAGCCTGAGGAAGCTCTACACAGAGTGACCTAGGACCAGGTACAGGAAACTTCTGTAGCTCAATCAGTGTCTCTAACTGCATAAGCAATAAGGTCTTAATAAAGTGTTCTAGAGTGTAGGGTGGTTCTTACAACCACAGCCATGATTGTCTTGTGTCTTCTGTTTGCTCAGCTCCCCTCAAACAATTTTGTTCCCCTGGGGTCCTGAGTATTTTAATTCTAGGGTAACTTCTGGACTAAAAAAAAGTCATTTTTGGAAAGCATGGATCTGATCCTGGCACAGTCACAGAACTTTTGAAATTTCCCTGAAGCACAAAGCTTGGGCCCTGGGGAATGTGGATGGAGTCTTGAGAACAGAAAATAATGAGTCCAGCAGGATAAACAATAAATGCTAGGTTAGAAAACTCTTAAGAACACTAGTGTGGGTTTAGAGTCCCAGGTCAATCCAGGCCCTACTAAAGCAGAATCTTAGGGAGAAGGGTTTGGGAATCTTTTCTTAAACATCACCTATGTTCCTAGGTGATTCTCATGTACACTAAAGCTTGTGAACAAGCTTACTATCCACAAAGTAGAACTATGGCCAGACTTGAATTCTGCCTCTGCCACTTAGCTGACTAACCTTGAACAGTTACTTAATCTCTCCTAGCTTCAGATGCCTTATCTCCAAAATGAAGATCAAATAGTACCTACCATATAGGGTAGCCGGAAAAGGCTAAATGAAGTGATAAGCACACAGTGGAGACTGAGACAATAAGACATGCTTAATGTTATTATCCAGAATGAGGGCCAGCTTGGTTGTGTCCTTCCTCCCTCTCCCTTCTAGAACTCTCAAGAATGAGGAGAGGGGAAACTTCTCCTGAAGTCTTCCCAATAACCAGATTTCTCCCCCAGGCCAGGGATCCAGCATGACTGCCCCTAGCCTAGTCTGTACCCTTCTGAAGCTGCTGGTTCTGAGCTTGGAGCTCCTGGTTCTGTGTGGCTAGATTAATAGTATCTTGCAGGACGCCAGCCAGCAGGCTGCAGTGACGATACTCTCTGGTCATGGCCTGCTCCTCCCAAAGCCTCTGCCAGGCCCGGAATACCTGTCCTCAAATCCAGAGATGCCTATCAGTCAGCCAGCCTTGTGGAACCAACTCAAGGCCTGCCCACCATCCCCACTGACCTGCAGCATGTGGTACGTCTGAGCTTGACTGGTCTGAACATGCAGGTCATAGAGGGCTGCCAGGTCCTGCTCTGCAGCATCTCGCTGTGCCTGAAGGGCCTCCACCTGGAGTCTCAGCACTGTCTGCTCCTGTTGCCATCTCCGCCTTTCCTCACAGGCCTTCAGTGATAATACATAGTCTTGTTGTGTACCACCTGTGTGTCAGGCTTTGCTAAATGTGTGTTACTTCATTTTATCAAATAACAATATGGGGCATTGCCATTTTACAGATTTGACAATACTGGATCAGAGAATTGATCTAACTTGTGCAGATTCTCATGGCCAGTGAAGGATGAGCTGAGATGGCTCATGCCTTCGGTAGTTCACCATTCTCCTCAGGGTAGAGTCCAAACCAAAAGGGTGGTATACTTGTCTCTTGCCTCTATGTCCCTGTTCAGCTCTAGCGAGACTGGATAATTTGCAGTTCCCAGAACCATTTTGGTATGGTTTCCCTCTGAACCTTTGTCCATACAGGTTTGCCCTCTCTGAGAACATATCTCTACTCCAGCCACTTACCACTGCCTACATAAGTTCTGTTTTATTTGTTCAAATAAGTTGTTTACTGAGATGATAAGCAGCATTAACTGCCCTTACGAAGCTCAGAATTTAGTGAATTCCCCTGGCTGTTGTATGTCCTTTGTGCCTTAGCTTAGATGCCATCTCCTCTGATTTACTTCAGCCTGAGTCAGATATATCTCTTCATTTCCACAAGCCCCACCTTACCTCATTACAGCACTTAGCACTGAGAACTGCCTCATCCATCCCCCTCTAGGCTATCAGGGCCACAAGAAAGGGTTTGAACTGGTCAGCTGTGATTGACACTGTATCCTAGCTCTCAGCATTGGCCAATTAAAGCCTCAAGCCCCTGACTTAACTTTCTTTACCTCCAAGCCTTTGACTTGGTCACCTGCCACCTCCTCCTTTTCCAAATGCTTTAGCTCCTCTTGGATCCAAATTTGGTGCTGTTCTCGCAGTCTCTGCCTTTGGGCTTGGGCCAAGAAGAACTGCAGGACCATATCTGGGATCTGCTGGGCCTAGGTGGCATTAATCTAGGCTCAGCCATAAGCCCGTGAGTGCACACAATTTTGGAACTTAGGGCCTAATAACTTCATTGCCAAGACTACTACCAGAACTACATCCAGGATCTAACTGGCCTGGAAGAGCCTATAGTCTAGGGAGGGACTCAGAAGGCTATGGAAGGAGGGAGAAGGTGTTGGCTCCCATACCCCTAATCCAACTCAGTAAGAAAACAGTCACTCCTTATGCTCCCCCTTTAGGGATCTAGTGGCCATTTGGGTCCTTTATTTGCCAAATGCTTACTACTTCTCCCTGATGTTGGGGCAGGGTAAACAGGATTTTACCTGGCCTCTGCTGCTACTCACTCCCTTAACAGTGCTTCCATTTGTTCTTGGGGTTTTTTAGGTATTACCTGTTCCTCAGAGTCCCTGCGAGAATTCTTTTGGTGGAGTCCAGGTCTTCCTGCCATTAGAGGAAAATGTATTTAATCACATAAAAGGTGGAGAAGACTCCCCACCCCAAGCTATCCCCTCAGTCCCAGACCCACCTTGGAACTTCCCCTTGAGACCTGGATTTGCTGTTGGGCCTATCACCCCCTAAAAAGATACTAGGTGTGAAATTCCACATCCTCCCAGGCCGTGAAATCAGATTGGGGTTCCAGTCCCCCCCTTATTTTTGCTGGATTACCACAAGCAAGTG